GAAAAGAATTAAACTCATAGAAATGATGACTTACCAACCAAGTTGTATTCAGCTCTACGGGACTTGATTAGCAGGACCCACAAGAGCTGTATGACAGTACATCTTCTGTATGGTAGCATGTGTGAATCCAAGAGGAAAGGTATCATCACCCTCATGTACAAGCAGAAGGGGGTTATGGAGGAAATTAGAAATTGGCAACTAATCTCACTGTTGACTGCAGACTACAAAATCCTAACATCATCGCCAATCGGGTCAGGTCTGCTCAGGGTTCGGTGATTCACTCAGACCAAACCTGTGCTGTACCAGGCAAGACGATCTCTGACAGCCTCACACTCCTCAGGGATACGATCTCCTACAAGCAAGATGGGTGAGGGGTGGGGGTGGTGGGTGGCATTGGGGGTGGGTTGATGCCTGCCTCATCAGTCTGGACCAGGAGAAGGTCTTTGATGGGATATTGCACGTACATACTGGACGTGCTCTCCAAAATGAGCTTTGGGGATGGAATTTGCAATTGGATCCAACTGCTTTACATCGCCATCATTGGTGCAATCTCAATCAATTGATGTGTATCAGAAAGCTTCCCGATCAGATCCGGAGTCAGGCAGGGCTGCTTACTCTCTCCTGCCTTGTTTGTGTGTTGTAAACAGGCTTTTGTTAAGTCCATCAGGAAGTATGCGAGCATGAGAATGATGACTATTTTGGGCAGCAGAGGCCTGCAGTGAAAGCCTCCCTTTACATGGATGATGTCGCTTACCACTGCTCGGATCTGCTGTAGGTACGCAGACTCATGAGCACCTCCGACCAGTTCGAGCAGATCTCAGGAGCCAAGGTAAATCAATGCAAGAGCGAGGCCATGTTCTTTGGGAACTGGGCCAAACGATCCTTTTACCCCTTCACCTTCAGGACCGAAGGTACTGGGAATATGGTTCGGAAGGGCTGGTGTGTGTGCAATATCTTTTAAGGGGGGGGAATGCATTTCTAAGGTGAGGCAGAAACAGGTCTTTTGGGAGCACTGCTCCCTCTCCATTGCAGGTGAAAATCAGGTGTGAAGCACTCTCTCTTTGTTGGGCAGGTTTGGCCTATTCCCCGAAACTGCACTCTTGCAGCCATCTGAGTCATCCTCCACTTTATCTGGAGGTCTAAGGTGGCTGTGTCTGCAGGGACTTCATGTACAAAACTCTGGATAAGGGATACATGATGGTCACCTTTGTTAGTGGCTCCATTAAGCTTTGTGTAGCCGCTCGATATGCAAACACCAATTGTCATTATGCACTGAGGTTCTACTTGTCCCTCATGTTGTGAAGGATATGATTGGCCACGTTGCTGTGGAATGCTCCAAGTAGTTGGACCATTCCGCATCACCTATCCTTCGAGGAGAAATTTGCAAATGAGAAACATCTTTTGCCACAAGTCCATCAGGAAGTGGTCCACACATAGTGTCCTTGAGACCCTGCAGGAAAAAGACAGGGTAGATTAAGAACATAGAACAGTACAGCACAGTACAGGCCCTTTGGCCCACAGTGTTGTGCTGACCTATTATTCTACTAACATCAAACTACCCTGCGTACCCTACATTATACTATCATCCATGTGCTTATCCAAGAGTTACTTAAATATCTCTAATGTATCTAACTCCACTACCACTGCTGGCAGCGCATTCCACATGCCCACCACTCTCTCTGTAAAGAACTTACCTCTGACATCTCCCCTATACCTTCCTCCAATCACCTTAAAATTATGTCCCCTCGTGATAGTCATTTCCACCCTGGGAAAAAAGTCTTTGGGTATCTACTTTATCTATGCCTCATCATCTTGTACACATCTATCAAGACACCTCCCATTCTTCTTCACTCCAATGAAAAAAGGCCTAGCTCCCTCAGCCTTTCCTCATAAGACCTGCCCTCCAGTCCAGGCAGCATCCTGGTAAATCTCCTCTGCCCCCTCTCTAAAGCTTCCACATCCTTCCTATAATGAGGTGACCAGAACTGAACACATCGTTCCAATTGTGGTCTACCCAGGGTTTTATAAAGCTGCAGCATAACCTCACAGCTGTTATACTCAATTCCGCAGCCAGAACAGCACACTGAACTGGGAAGAGAGACAAATGGCGAGAACTCACTGAACGGGGATAGGGAAGAATTACAGTGACAACACACTCAACAGCGAAGAGAGAGACAGAGTGTGACAACACACTGATCTGGTAATAGAGAGAGATACAGAGAGGGAACATGCTGATTTGAAAATAGAGGGTGACAAACAGACTCACACATTCCCACACACACACTCTCTCCCACACACACACACACACACACACAATCTCACACACACACCCACCCACATACTCACACATACACTCTCCTGCACGTACACACTCACGCACACTCGCCTACGCACTCTCCCACACACACACACACACTCCCCCCAACACAAACACACACACTCCCCCCACACATACACACACACACTCCTATCCCCACAATCACGCACACACTCACTACCTACCCCACACACACTCACACTCCGCCCCACACAAACACACAC